ATGGTATCTATATATATATATATATATCGTACTTTTTATTTTAAAAAAGCATCTTTTTTTTCGGTATTTAGAGTTTATATAAGTTTACTAGTGTGATCCACATGCATCGCATCAATTTAGTTGCACTGAAAAACCATAACCTTAACCATCCTACAAGAAAGACAATGCTAAATGTAGAAGCGCGCCAAAACCAAAACAAAATGTGGGTTCTATGTGGGGGACACATCATTCCTGAATTTGAATCCAAAACAATGAACGGAGCAAAATCAAATCAGCTGATGAGCTCACAAAAAAAACTTCCGAAAAATGAGTCCTATGGATAAAAGAACCAGAAGAAAGTATTCAAATTCTACAAAGATAAAAGGATGTAAATGGAAAACCTACTTAGTTCATTAAAGAAAAATGGAAACCAAGTCATTTTCCACATTACGGTTCTTGGCAAATTCACAAGCAGATTGGTTAAAAATAAATATTGGTTAGAAGAAGTTTATTGGATCAAGTATAAAACATTTACCTGATCGACTGTGGCATGAGATCCATAATGCATTTCTTTCCGTGACAATGCCTTCACTGCTGACATAAATGATTGAACCTACATGATAAACTTCAATTCATCTCCATGTTGCAGGTATATAAAACCAAATATTAACCAAAGCTGGAGTTCTTGAAAGTTTTAAAAGTTCAACATAGAATAGTCTGAGAAAATAAGGGTAGCACCTTTTCAACCACAGATGTTAGCTTAAAAGTTAGATACAGCCCTGTTGTAAGGGAGGAGAAAAGGCTACCATATTCCTTGTTCAGGAAGAAACGATACCAAACTGGTGTTGGTAATAATGCTCGATACAGCAGCACTAGATATTCCACAATGGTTAGCAATTGACCCTATGAAACAAGTATCAGCAAGTGCTACATAATAAACCACACCAAAAGTATAATTACCGTAGCCAAACAATTCATGATTATTTTCTGAGAAAACTCTGAATAAGAAGCAAATAATAATGATTTATTTTAATTCCTAGAAATCCCAAAAAAAAAAAATCATGGACATATAAGATGAAGCAAGACAATAAAAACTAGTTAAAAAAGTAATTTTCTACGTGAAAATAACCACAAACAAGTGTAGCAAAAAATCTATTTAACAAGAACATCTACCTCTGGTCCTCAACGGAAGGGTCTACATTCGGCTTTAACGGCAACTTTAAGTGAGGAAAGTAGTAAAACCAAGAAGTAAGAGTTAAACATTGCAAATTATATTCAAATGTATGCAATTTAAGCTCATGAAAACTAACAACATGAATGTAACTAACTACTATGAAGCATGGAACATTGCAAATTATATGCTAATGCATGCAATTTAAGCTCATGAAAACTAACAACATGAATGTCAATGAGGGGCACAAACATGACCATCACCATTATCAACACGACATGTCAATTATTTGAAATTAGATTTATAATTATTCATTTTTCATTTGTTCCAACTGAGTGTTGCATGAGGTAATAAATACATTCACAGAATATATATATATATACACATGTTAATTTAGAGGAACTTCTACCCATTTTATTTTAGGTGTCAAACCTACACAAATCATTATGAATAAATGTTATCCCATTATCAAAGGTCATGACTCCCTCAATGGTCTACCTGCTTCAACAACCAGAACTCCACTACCATGAATTTATAAAAATAATGCAGCCACTAAAAGTATAATTACTTAATAGCTAGACCTAACAAAAACTCTCATTATATATGATAAATCATGTCAACAAAATTATGCTGTTTAATTGCATGTGATTTAAATCCGTTTTTTGAAGCAAATGATTCCAAATTATTCGAGGTTCTCGACATAAAATTCATTTATGTGAGTTTCATTTAATTAAGTTTGGTTTGCATAAACTCACCCCTTATGAACTCAGATTCTTTTGTTTGTTTGTGCACGAGTTCTATTTGAAGATTCGTTCACAGTATTTTATACTAACTTATTAATTGCAAGAAAAGTAATATTCTAAACCCATCATCTAATTAACTTATATTAAATGTAAAATGTAAGACTAAAGATGACTTTCAACACTCAAAATTGAAACGTTATGAGGACAAGTTTCAAATATTGGCACTGTTTCATTCAATTTATGCCAAATAAACATCAACTCACTACCAAAAGTGGGTTTCAGAAACTTCTACCATTAATCTCAAAACAAACTAAGCCTTTAAAATGTGTGCTTGCAAGATCTACAGAACTATAGTTGCATAAATTATCATAAATTAGAACAATAACATAATAAAACAACTAAAAATTCTACGGAAAATAAAAATGCTTTCTTACAAAAAATAACAAAAATTACCTGTTTCCGATAGTTACAGCCTCTACTATTCTTATAACACACTAAAAGGACGCATTTCACAGCCATAGCTGCCTGACGCACCATGGTATCTGCAAGAAAACAATTAATTAATAAGGAATTAAGACATTAACTATATCAAGAAATCAACAAATTCACAAGTCCCAAACCGATGGCAATCTCATGCAACCCGTAAAAAAACAATGGCAAACCTCAACCAGGCCCACATGTTCTGTGACCCAAATAGATGCATCAACTCAAAAAACCAAATAAATTTGTATTCATTTACTGAAGTTTATGTAACACAAATCTAAAACCTAATATTGATAACAAAAATTAATAAGTACCTTCCAACTAAAAAAGGTGGAATCAAAAGGTATGAAATTAATATCCACATCCCAGTACAATGAGATTCAAGGAATGAAGGTAAATAAAAAAATATAAGTACGAAATCATTTGATTCACTCATATAAGTCATGTAAAAAAGGAAGCTACTCGAGATATAATTAAAAAGTTTCTTTATTAACAAACTATCTGAGAAACTCAACAAAAATTATCCATTTTAAACCATTCAATGGTGAAACATAGGTGTTTCAAAAAATATATATTCCAACAGCATCATGTAGCACCAAAATAACAAATTTTTTATAAATATAGAAGCACCAACATGTACCTATATCTCTAAAACATTAATGATCGTGTTTGATTAATAATCTAACATGTACCTTGTGTAGGAAAGTGCCAATCCATATACTTGATTAAAAAGAAATTTAATTTTTTCCCTCAGAATATATTTCACTAATTGTGTTTTCTTTTATTAGATATTTTCTATTTTTATGATTTCCTTTTTGGTGAGATTTCTAATTTAAAAGGATTACAGTTTCCTATTTTTGTAGGCCGATATGTCGGCCAAACTATTATATATACAGTAATGTGTAATGCATTGGGTTAAGCAAGAAATAAATACCATTTCCCAAATTTGTACACGGCATTGAAGCTCTGATGCCTCTCTCCCCTTACGAGTTTCGCTGCATGAAAAAACCACAACCTAAGCCCCTCTCGCTCACCTCTCTCGTACACATGCAGGAGGAAGGCAAGATCGCACAAGGAGGCAAAATGGAGAGCTCTTCCCTTGCTCTCTCTTGATCGACCTCTACATGCCCTAGGTCCAGAACTCACCATGAGATATTTCTTCGCCCTTTCATTCTGACTACTGCGACTCTCTCACAGTCGGCAGCCCGCAATCTCGAAAACAACACAAAGGAAACATCCTCTAGTCTCGTGCTCACCTCTATTTCACATCGTCTGATCGTCTCTTCTATTAGCATAGATCACTCATACACACGGGCCGTTGCTAATTCATTCGTCTCTTACGTTTGACAAGATTGTAGCAGACAAACAGTGTGAAATCGCAGAACACCTCATTCACCAAAGCAGTGCTCGATTCAACTTAGAAATGACCTAATCACCTCTCTCCAAGTGTTGAACTCGTGAAAACTAAGAGTTGCACACCTCCCTCTAGTTTCTATTCACATATTCAGTCGAGCACTCAAACAAAGGGTTCTTCTTTAGCTTTCATTTGAGTAGCAGGACTTCTTGATTTGTGCTTCAAAATCTTATTATGGTCAAGCATGACATGACCTCACAATTTTCTTTCTCTAAAGTCACCTCTCTAGATTTGAGCTTGAATCTTTAGTCCCTACCACACCTAATTACTCAACCTCATCTAATCACTAGCTATAAACTACATGGTCATAATTTTCTTCAATGGTCATGTCACAACCCAACTGCACCCCCGCCCCCCGGCACGCGACTACCGAGACTCCACACTCGGCATCCATTAATCTCACAATCAATGGGAATGAAACGTCCACTAGTCTCGTGCCTCCTCATATCTGTCTCACATCGTCTGACCATCTCTTTTATTCACATAGCTAGTCTCGTGCCTCCTCATATTTGTCTCACATCGTCTGACCATCTCTTTAATTCGCATAGATCACCTCGTACGCACGAACCGCTGCCCCTCCGTTCGTCTCTTACACTTGACAAGATCATAGAGTCAAACCGTGCGAAATCACAAAACTCTTTGGTTCACTAAAGTAGCACTAGATTCGACTTATGAATGACCTAAACACTTCTCTCCCAGAGCTGAACTTGTGAAAACCGAGAGCTACGCACCTCCCTTTAATTTTCATTTGCAAGTTCAACCAAGCACTTGAACTAAGGGTCCTTCTCCAGCTTTCATTCGAGTAGCAGGTCTTCCTGATTTGGGCTTCACAATCTTATTATGGTCAAACGTTGCATGGCCTCACAATCTTCTTTCTCAAAAATCACCTTTAGATTTGAGTCTACATATTCAAGCCCTAGCGCACCTGATAACTCAGCATCATCTAGTCACTAACTATAAACTGCATGGACATAATTTTCTTCAATGAGTACCCAAAAGTATGCACAAAGTCCCAAAACTATGAAATGCAAAAGATGTACAAGTCACACATGGCTACTCACATAGGCTCTCATTACCCCTTCCTAAAAGTTAACATTCTATAGTGAGTAACAACGAGCTCAACAAAATAATTAAGACTAAAATAAATTTTATAAATGGAAAAAAAACATGCATGCTCATATATAATCCATGTACATGTTCACAACACATGACACAAGATGCTATAAACATACAAAACACAAAATAAATGACATCATACAGAGAATCATGGTTGCTGTATAAAACATGTATTTCATTCATTCATGTGTGACCAATTTAATTATATATGCCTCAATTAGCCCCAATTATATATTTAAATCACTCATGTGTATTTTATAAAAGGGCTAATTAAATTAATTAAACTTATAACTTCAAAATTTTATCTCCCGTTCTATTCAAAATTCATATATAGTGTTAGATATCGAATTGATTGATTTGACGTGTAAAATTTTATAAAATTAATTCGATTGAATTTTAAGATTTGCAAAGTTTTTCAAATTTTTGGTGTTACAAATCTCCCTCATAAAAATTTCATCCTTGAAATCTTTGACTTGAACAAAAAAGGGATATTTTATTGCATTTCTTAGTCTTTTTCTCATTTGGCTTCCTTTTCAGGCCTGTACTTCTACCTTAGAATTTGTTTATTCCTCAATTTCTTAATACCAATTTCTAAAATGCTTTGAAGCTCTTCATTATAAGTAAGATTTTTTTTGTACTTATATGTCTGCATGTGAATTTCTCTGATTTGATTTGAAACCAATTTTCATAGCATTAAAATGTGAAATACATCATGAATATTTGACGTATCAATAGATAAAGCTAGCGATTGAGCAACTAAATCAATCCTTTATGAAATTCCAAATGAACTAATGTACTTGGGACTAAACTTGCTTCCCTGACCAAATCTGGGTAAATTTCAATGGCTTGACTTTAAAATATACCAAATCACCAATTTCAAATTCTGCTGCTTTTTATTTTGAGTCATAATAATTTTGTCGTCGATCCTGAGCAACTTTCAAACTGTCTTTGATTAATTTGTTTTTTTCTATAGCTTCATCAATTAACTCGGGACCTAACATTCGACATTTACCCACTTCAATCTAACTTAATAGTGTTCTACATTTCCTGTCATGCAGTGCTTCATAAAGAGTCATTTTGATACGAGACTGATAACTAGCTACTATTGCTGGCAAATTTTATCATTAGAATGTGATCTTCCGAACTACTTCTAAATTCAAGGGCACAAAGCCTCAACAGATCTTCCAATACTTGAATTGTTCTTTCTGATTCTGATTGTCCGTCGGTTTGTGGATGAAATGTTGTGCTAAATTGCAAATGCATAACTAAATTTTTTTTTAATGCTTTTTCACAACCTGAACAGGAATCTTCCATCCCTGTTAGAAATAATACTTTTTGAACACCATGCAATCAAATAATTTCTTTTACATATGATCTTAACAAACTTTTCAACCAAATATGTCTACCTGATTGATAAAAAATGAGTTGTCTGTTGGTCTATCAATAATGATCCAAAGACTGTCATGACCCTGGATCAAAGAAATCCCATAACAAAACCGATAGTAATTTATTCTCACGGATGCACAACTTTTAGAATCTGAAAAGTTTGGCACTTAGATACATATACAACATCATTCTTCATACTTGATCACCAGAACATTTACTTCAAATTCTTATACATTTTAGTACAACCTCGATGAATTGTGTACCCTGAATGAAAAACTTCACGTAGGATTTCCTATTTCAAATCAGAATTAGCAGGTAACCATAACTGTAGCTTGTTTCTGATAAAGTTATCTTCATCAACAGTCATATCAACCTTCTTTTCTGAATGAAGTTATTTCAAGAGTTTCTGATATTCACTGTTAACTTTCTGAGTTACCTTGATTATATCTATCAAAATTGGTTGCACTGTCAATTGATGTAAATATCCCATGTCACCTGATCTTTTGACTTCGGCATCAGTTTCTTTGATTAATTCCAGCTCTGGAGTAACCAGCTAGCTTGCGTTACTTGTGGATTTATAGCTCAAAACATCGACAATACATTTGTTATGTTGGGACAATATTGTACATCCAAATCAATCTTTGAGAACCACTAGCAAATATTCGTTGCCTCAAATCCAGCTCTCTTTATGCTAAAATATACTTCAAACTCTGATTATATGAGAAGACTTCGTTCTTCACACCATATAAGTAGTGTCGTCAAATCTAAAGAGCAAATACTACAATAGATAATTGCAGATCATGTGTCAGATAATTTCTCTCATGTGGCTTCAACTGCCTGCATAAGCTATTACTTCTCTATGTTACATTGAAACATATCCCAAGTCTCACAACGATTCATCAATGTAAATCTTGAACTCTTATGTACCTAACAAAATAACCAACACTGGAGCAGTAGTTAAATGTTTCTTCAACTCTTGAAAACTGTGTTCACATTTTGCAGTCCATTTAAATTAAACATCTTCTCTCATCAACTTGAACAACAACATAGCAATTTGTGAAAATCCTTTAATGAACCTCATGTAATATTCGACCAATCCAAAAAAAACTACGTGTTGCATTCTTTAGAGAAACATTCCACAATTGCTTTCACATTAAGCGGTCCTACTAAGATTCCTTGGTCGTTAATAATATGCCTCAAAAATACAATATTCCACAGCCAAAATTCACATTTTGACAACTTTGCATGTAGCTAATTTTGCCTCAAAAACTCCAATATAATCCTCAAATGTTGGTATGATCATTATCAACTTTTGAATATATCAAAATATTATTAATAAATATAATGACAAACTGATCCACATAAATCTAGAATATTCGATTCAGCAAGTCCATAAATACAACAAAAGCATTGGTTAAGCCAAAAGGCATAACTAAAAATTCATAATGACCATATTTGATCTTAAAAGCTATCTTAGTTATATCTGCCTCTTTAACTTCGATATGATGATATCTTGATCTCAGATCAATTATTGAAACTAATCAGATAGATAATTGCAGATCAAGTTCATTGCCTCGCCAGCCTCTTCAATAAAATATTTGTGTGCATATGATTTTCTTTCACCAGACCTATAAAGATAATTTGCATTCCAACTAACCCAAAATGGGAACTAGCATTTACTAAATTAAATTATAGATACTATATTCCCAGTCATAAATCCAGACGGTTTTGTTATCACCAAATTCTACTATAGACGTAATAATCTCGTTCAGACCAAAACACTCATATTTACAATAACACAATAGCAAAACAAAATAGTTAGAACAAGGACAAACAAATATAAGGATTTATTCAGCTTGAACGATTGAAGAATTTACCATTCACCATAATGATAAATATTGCATGCCAAAATGGTGGAACTTCACTTGGGGGAAGCAAAACCAGGGGATAAAGCAGCTCTTCATTGCAGTACCACCAATACACTCCAATCACATGAATGGTGAATATTACTCCAATTCCAACAAGTACTGAAATTTTCCTCTCTCCCTACATAGGCAAAGATCAAACGATACAAATATCAAAAGACCTTCACGAGTCCATCCATTGTGGCAAGTTCAACAAAACACAAACAGATAAAATATGGTGAAAGGCATCAAGATTTATCATAAGTTGAACTAATGATTATCAACATTGCAAAAGAACAAAGAATGAGAGCAGCAATATTTAACACAATAATATCAATCCCACCACCCAATAATCTCAAGCAAAAGAAGACATGAATCACACTTAAGCAATTAACTACTAGCATACTTTAAAATGCTATTTCAAATAAGGTGACAAGTAAAATTTTGAATATTAGATTCTTATAAAATTCTGAATCATTAATGCGTGCTTTTTTTGATATCAGTATAGCAGCTTACATTTATTTCAACTGCATAAAATTTGAAAACCTGCAAGCTCTTTTCCCCTTAGCAAGTTGCAAACCTTAGCAAGTTGAGCATAATTTGAGAATATAAAGCAAATGGAACATAGTACGAAATGTTGAAATTCATTGTGGAAAAGCTATAGTAAGAACATTTTCAGAATCATAAAATCTTGTCCAACAGAGTAGAAGATGCATCAGAGGCCCAAATTGTACACACAAATAAATATTAAAGGAAAGGAAATAATTGAACATCATGAACTCTTCGCTGAAGATTCACCAACTAAAGAAACAATGAGACATTCGAATTCCCAATAACTATTTCCTTTCAGAATTCCAACATCTAACACTACAGTGATGCACATCCTGTGATAGACATAATAACCTGCATAAACTAAATATTTAAGAGAACTGGTTTTATTGCTGCACTATGTCATAGCTTTTCTTCCACAATCCATAGTGGTTATCACTAAAAGGTGCCTCAATAATTTTTTAAACAAAAAATTCTTTGAAGTCAAAAAAAAAATTTTCCACGATTCTTTTACCTTGAGAAACAAAGTGCAGAACATACCCATGCCCTCAATACAACACCACATGATCCTAAGACTAGAATAAATTAATCTACAATATAATCAGTAGTATCTAACACCATAAATCTAAGAAAGAATGAAATAGGACATTTGTGATATAAAATAATAGCACCTATAATTAAGAAAGACATGTCATTAAAGACTAGATCTTTCGAAATGTGGAACATCAAAGCAAAAACAATTCATAGAAAATCCTAATAGTGCAAGTGCTAAAGGTTTAATCATCAAGAAAGATGTGAAAAATATAACAATGGCAATTATTACGGCAAAGAGATTCCACCTTCAAGGCTGTCTGCTTACACAATAAATCATTTGACTTGAACATTACAGCAGACAGCCAAATCGTTATGAAGAAACCTGCAGTCAGAAAACAAGAAAAAAAAAAGAGAAAACTAAAATTAAAGTGCAAGAAAAGAATACAAAAACTCAAATTAAAGTACAAGAAAAGAATATAGAGCCATATGGAAAAGAAAAATGCTTAGGAACTTTACATATCTGTTAACTCTTAATTGGATGATTACAAAGCCATATCACGTTTACAAAGAAAACCATCTGACATTACCCGCTGTATTCATCTATTATCAAGTTTTTATTTATTTATTTATTTTTTGTGATTCATGCTAGCTTTAAAAGGCTTATAGAATGTTTGGCTACAAGTAAAATTTAACCTTTAAGTAGGATTCAATAAATCCTATAAACTCAAATTTAGTAAATCTTGAGAGAAATAAAACTGGAAAACATTTCGGCATGACAACCGTTAAATCTACTAAAAGTTGATAAATTGTTTAGTTATTTGTTCCAAGATTTATAAAATTTCTGATGAAAATCCTTAAATATCTTAAATACTTTGATTGGTAGAATCCAACAAATTCCAGACAACGAATAACTAACTGAAAAGAGATTTATCGAATAATTGCATTTAAACATTCAAAAATTTTGTTTGACAGAATTTGAGCTAAATCTTCCTTGAACTTTGCCTAAAATAGAATATCAAGCGACCCCTAAAAGTTTGTTCGGACACTTGCTCATTTCATTTTATACTTATAAGCTGATTTCCTCATACACATATAAACATTGGCCATCCTTCACTCTTAATTTATTTAAGCTCTACAAAGCAAACTGTATGATCTCAGCATGAAAACATGCTCCATGACAGACACATCTCCCAAATGTCAAAATATATTGTCTACTTTTAGAGGAAATACAGTGATGAAGAACTTCATCTCTCATCTGCTTAATTATTCTCATGAAGGCCGCATTCTCTTTCATTTTTCCGTAAGTTATTCAAATACCTACTTGATATTTGGCAGAGAACATAAAAAATGTTTTGAGTTTCACTGTGATAATAAAACCTCCAACTAGACATTAACTGCATCAGCAACCCAAAATGTACAGCACTTTGATTTAATCAGCATCTTTTGAGGCATTAACCAAAAAAAAGATGACCCAACCTTTAGCCATAACAAGCAATAGAAGCATTTGCCAGGCTTATCATTAAGGATGTGTTAAGAGAAATTCGTATAGCTCGTATGAGGTAAATGGCCCACTCAAGATGGAACAGTTACAATTGTTATTCAAATTGCTCTTAAAGCATGCCAAAAATCAGAACGATAAACAAGATTGTTATGATGGTGCCTAAGGATACTTTAGTCATTTGCCATTTATTATAGGTAGTATAAATAGGACTAATATGTTTAGGGTTAAGGTTCTACATGAGATTATTGTGGCAAGTCTCAGGCTTAGAGTTTGAGAGAGATTTCCTACCTCTTGCATTGTAAAAATTGGGAGAGATCGCCTACCTGTCACGACTCGACCTGAGGCTTAGAATTAACCAAAGTGGGAATAGACAGTCAGACAAAAAAAATTAAAATTATTCTATAACTAACATTTTAATATATGAAAGTAATAGAGTTAAATTTTACCTCATTTCAGGTAGTTCGCATTTTCTATAAACATTTTCTCTTATATCACTCATCTTTTTAATCAATTAATTAAACCTGAAACGTTAGTATAAAACACCAATAAGCTAAACAAAGCTAGTAAATACCCATACTCCTAAAATGTAGTAATTCAATGAAAAGGGAGACAATATGCATGCTAATTAAATTGCATAAAAAAATAAAAGGGCATTTAGCGAGTTGTATTATCTAATATGATCATCCAAGATGATTTTAAACTTTCACTATATCTTATTATATCGTTTACATATCAATATCTTTTTAATATGTATACATTTATCACGGGAGCACCGTCTAGAATTATGTCATTCAAGGTACTTCACTATAAATATTCTTTTCTATTTACGTGCACGGGTATCTTAGCATTCATCAGCTAGTACCATAAAAGAGTGACTATCATAGCCAAGCATGCACATGCAAGCAATCAAAATAACAACTCCTATCCTTATTTTCTTTTCATACCATTCAATAATCTGAATTATACATTTAAATGACATACAAATATCAATAACATACACTCAATATGATCAAATGAACTTAAAGAGCCAATAAAATCTATTTAAGCAAGTGCAAGTCATATAATGAGACATTTAGAAGAAATCAAATATTACCAAAATTTATAAGTATAAGTACCCACTTGTTTAGCTTGCTTGCGACACCGATTCCTCAACTCCTGACCTTATAGACTCAAATGTTCTTCAACCTAAATTGATATTAAACAATAACATTTTTATTAAATATTAATTCTAAATTTAGTAAATTAAATTCTAATTAAAACATACATTATCTTTCAAAATAATTCGATCCTCGATCTTGAAACTGTATCTCCCTTACTTAATTGCATCCTGATTTCAGATACGTCTATTATTAACACCTAAAGAAAAAATTTGAATATTCATATAAGATTCATTAATTAAATTAGTACAACATCAACTTACCTTAAATCACAAATTTGGGTTTCACTAGACTTTTACTCTTCACTTCATACCCGCGACTCTTCCTCTTTCCTCGTAATGAAAGTTCGCGTCACCTTACACCCTCTAATTAGGAACTTTATAGCTTATATCTTGTTTCAAGTAACTGTATTAACACATTATTTAAATAAGTACATACACAGACATAATTATTCATATAAGAATATATATTAACTTATTAAATTATTAAACATGCCTCCTTTATAATATTCAGTCTCTATCCTAGCTCACGCACAACACCACGCTTTCTCCTTCAGTCGGTGATCTTCTTAGCTAGACTTCTTCCTTTGCACGGCTCAATCCAGAGCAGTGCACACAAAATCGCTTCCTCCTGCTCCTTTGCACATCTTCGGCTCCCCTTATCTTCTTCCTGGTTCAGGTCATTGCTCAACCTAGCACCGACACGTGTCATCCTCTTTCCTCCTCCTCTGCATGTGAGGACTCCTACCAAAGGAACAAGAGTTTCTCTTACTCTGCTAGAGCTCGAGTCTTCTTCTTTAATTCGTACTGAAGCCGCTCGGCGATCAAGTGTGCAGATACACCTTCAATCTACTCTCACAATGTCGTTCGCACCGCAACAATGTGCGTAGGGCTTCTGCTAGAGTTGCACAGAAGCTATCTTCCTCTACATCATTTTCATTTTCTCTCTCTTCTGGCTTTCTCCCTCCCTATCTCTCATGCTTCTTCCCTCTGATTTGATTCAGAGAAAAGGTGCGAAAATACTCGTTTTAATTTTTAACTAGGATTGTGTCTATTCAAAGGACACATTCTATTATTTTTATTTTATTTTATTTTATTTTATTAGGTTATTACACCACATCTCAAAGTGTAGCTGCTTATATTGGGATTTGTGTTGAATGTTCTTGAAATAAAATATTATTTGCCCTAATTTATATGTGGAAATCTGTGTTGTTTCCTATCAAACAGTATAAGAGCAATCAATTTTGGCAAGCAAATACGAAGGATAACGATGTCAAAGCGATACAGTCACTCGAACAAGCGATACGATCGACGAAGGACCGCAGGATTGCGACATACACAAGACTCGAAACTCCCATCTTTCTCTTCCTCCCGCTCCATCCTCGTAATATAAGCATGATTGAGCTAGCAGGGGAGCAACTACAGTTGTGATCCGACCTAGCTGGGATGACAATGATGGGATCGCGGGTACTTGCTGGGAAGCTAATTCAATTGAGGCAAATAGAAGATTGATCATGTGAATAAATGAGGGGATACAATCACGATTTGAACCTAGGAAGAAGGATTGTGGTCTACAGTGACAATACAGTCACGATTTGAGCCTACTGGGGAGCCAACGGGGTCACGGCTTATAGTGACATGATACAGTCATGATTTGAGCTTGCTATGAGCTGACGGGATCATGGTGCACAGGTGTCTCCATCTCGTAGCCTGATTGAACAGCGTGATATAGTCAAGATACGAACCAAACGGAATGACAACGTATTGGGTCGTGACCTGTCTTCCTGACCGAATGTGCAAGCAAGTGACGAAATTTCAGGGTACAAAAGTTTTGCCTTATGATTCAAAGTCTTCCTAGGAGTAGTGATGGGTAAAAAAATAGATGCTTTAGAGGAGAAATTAAAGGGAGAGTTGAGCCACGTCAAATCTGAAATACACAAACAATTCTCATCCATAGAGGGGTGAATCAAGAGGAGATTCACGACTCTAAAAGAAATGATGAAGAATATCATGAAGTTTCACATAAAACCACCTCCAACTGCTGCGTGATTGAGCGGCGACATTGAGGGTCGTCAAGGTAGTATCGCTGCTTTAGACGGATTGGGAGTTGTGGTATCGAGCAAAGAAATCAAGAGCGGACTCGAGCAGCAGCACTTGGAAGAATTAGCGTGATATTCGGACGGCTTGAACAAAGGGAAGCAAGCAGGATTGAAGTTGATGGAGATGGAAGAGACACGTGATACAAAGTCGACAGAAATTCTGGTGATCCATAAGCTACAGAATAAAATAATTGGGGTTGCGATGTTCTCGAAGATTGACTATACGTCAAGACAATTGCCGATTTGAATGTGGTCGAATGATGCACATAAGATGACATTTTGAATTCTTGAGGTTTACTATAAATTTTTTATTAAATGGAAATAATTGTCAGATGAAGACGGACCGTGGAAACCATATAACTTAATCTAATAGCAGTTGATCCCACATTGGGGAAATCTATATTTTTAAGAGGGAAGTTATATTATAATAGCGCCTAAGAGGAATTTAGTCTTTATTAGCCTAAGCACAATTTAAACATTTGTAATTTATTATTGGTTAATATAAATAAGACTAAAATGTTTAGACTTAGGGTCATGCATGAGATTATTGTGGTGAGCCTTAGTTTTATGGTTTGGGAGAGAATTCCTACCTCTTAAAATGTAGGAATCGGAAGATATCGCCTACC